TACCGGGAAGAGGAAGAGGACCCTAGAAATGCTTATCCACTCTTACCTCATTTCGGCCTGGACTCAAATCTGCGAAACAGCCACACCCATTTATTGAGCTTTTCCCCGTAACCTCACGGGGTAGAATTTAGTGCCTTGTCATTTGCTTGTAACACCCAGTGCTCGTTCCACCCCCTGCCCTCCCTTGTGCCCACCCTCCAGCGGCCTCATCCCCCGCCGCCTACCTCCCCTCTAGCAACTCTGTGCCCTAGAACTCAGCATCCCTTATGGTTTGCCTCCCTCTCAGTTTCCATCTCGTTTTATTTTTCCTTCCCTTCCCCTATGTGGGATTTAAGAAACAAATGAACACCTTTCGTCTTTCGGGGCAGGTAGTATTTAAGGAGGCGGCGTGAGCCATTTCAGGGAGTTCTCGGGCTTCCTGGGGTGTCTCCCACGCATGCAGGAGGCATACGTGTTGTTTAACTTGTGTTTGTTTTTCCTCCCATGAACCTGCCTTTTCTTATGGGGTCTCAGTCAGGAACCTAAAAGGGTAGAAGTCAGATTATGTTCTATGGCGGTAAAGGTCAAATTTTACCTCCCCTGTAGAATAAAAGTCTGCAACCCAGCAAGATCCTCGGTGGTTCACATTTGAGAAACCTGCCTTGTTCACGGCACTTAGAATTGTGCAACTCTGACGCTGCTGCTGCGACCGCGTGTCCGGGCTGGCCTCATCCCCGAGGCGGCCACACTAGCGAGGTCTCCTGCTCGCCTGTGTCCGCTTCTCCAGGGCTTACGGGCTCTCAGCGAGCTCTTGGCTCAAGGACAGACCCTCAGAGGCCTCGTTTATGGCCTCTGCTCATCTGTGGGGCAGGTGAGCGCCAAGGAGCTCAGGTTTCTTAGGACAGGCCCACCTGAGCCCCTGCTCTCACAGCAGACGCTACAGCTGCGGGGCTCAGGGGTGACACTCTCACCCTGTCCTCCGCTGGCCCTTCACCCCCTCCATCACGCTGGCCACGTCGAGGAGGGTGGCCACTGCCTGCCACCGAGCTTTTCCTCCAAACCCCCATCTCACGGGACACCGCCCTCCTACAGTGCGGAGAGGGACGGGCTGTGCCGTGGTCCCGAGTGGCTCACTTTCCTGACACTGGAGTGAAATGCTTTCTCCCTGTAGGTCTGACACAGTAATGAGGAGGACGCTCCACCGGGTTCCACTGAAGATGCTCGAACTAAAGGTGTGTGTTCTTCCCCGCTCGGGACAGTTTTGACGTGACAGGGTAGACTAAGTAGCCTCGAATTGAAAAAGCATCACAACATTCGTATACACAAATAACCGAAAAAAGAGCTCAGTGCTTCCACTGCCAACGTACTTAGTATAAAATACACCGGCAGAAGGCAAGAAACCCTCCAGTCGCTTACGCTCGGCTGTGTTAACCCGCATTTGCTCACCTACATCTACCGGCTGGGTAAGTAGGGCCAAGAGGCTAAAATTTCTCCAAGGAAATGTTCTGGGCAGCCCTTGGAGGCTGTAAATACTAAAACACAATGACCACACTTTCTCCTCGGCCCATGTGGCTACCCCAGCAGCACCGAGGGGCAGACAGGTTGGTCCCTTAAAGCAAATCAGGAAAGACAAGTGAGGAGCGGTTTGATTGTCCCAGGAGACCCACCCTTCAGCCCTCACACAGTCAGGTGTGGGGTGCGGGGGTTAGAGGCACGCCAGGAGACATGAGGCTCAGGGTGCACTTCATAATAACTTGGGTGTTTCAGTGCTGTAGTCAGATTCACTTTCTGACTTTTCCCCGTCAACATCATGTTATAAAAATTTTCAAACATCCAGAGAAGTTGGAAGACTTGTACGGTGAACGCCCGCACGCTCTCTGTGCAGGCGGCAGCGCTCACAGCTTGTTCTTTGCCCTGTCCCCCCACCTGCCCACCTCCTGCTCCGGGCACCTGCTCCGGGCATCTGCTCCCTCCCGTCCCCACCTGCCTTTGCTCCCTCTCCAGCCCTCCTGGGGCCTTGGCCCGCATTTCCTCAGGGGAGGGGTGGTTATCCTGTCTGGCAGGGCTGGGCTGGGGAACCAGGACTGAGGACACAGCCCTGCCCTGGGGCTTCTGTTCTGTTTTGTTCCTTAACTCTGCTTGAGACTATTCTGAGAAATTAAACTTTTCTTGTGACTTTGAAGAAACAGGACCTTGAATTCAGAATCCCTTGGGGGGAAGGTACATTTTATAGGAGTGAGCAGATATGGACAAGTCTATCCAGGAGGAGGCCCGACCAGGAGCCGTTTAATTTTTCTGGCATCTGAGTTTCCAAGCATGCCATTTGAATCCCTTCCTTCCCTCATGGGCGCTTTCCCCGAGGTCCCTTGGCTACGGAAGCCGGTCCCGTTTACAGTGGCTCCTGGATGAGCAGTGGGGGGCTTGGCCTCTCACCTGCCCCAGTGCAGAGATGAGGCCGCCTCTACTTCTCCCTCCCCTGGGCTCTCCTTCCTCCAGCTCTGACAGAGGAGAGGGAGGACCTGTGTCTCCAGTCTCATAGGCTGCCCACACTCACCAAGGTTGGTGCACCCATGTGCAGAAGGTGTCCAGGTGTCACACCTGGGTCTACCCCCACCTCCCCTCGTGGGGAGGCGGGAAGAGGGGTCACACCACCACACCCCTTTGACATATACTTGACCAGCATGGGAAGCTCTGTCTCCCAGCCTGCTGGATGGAGGCGGCGTTGGGCACTTTTCCTGAACCCTCTCCAGGCCCTGCTGTCTGCCCTGGTACCCATCTCCTTGTGTGGGCCGGTCAGCCAGACCACTGTCCAGGCAGAGCCAGAATGAGGCTCCAGGAGCCCAGCCTGGCAGACACTCCCACTCATTACCCTAGAAAAATCCAATCCACTGACTTCCCGAAATGGAAAGAAAGTTTCCCATTCTTCCCCAGTGCGTGTGGGGGTGCAGGGCAGCTCCTGCAAGTCAGGGGAACAGAAAGCAGCCGACCCCCCAGCCCCAGGACCCCTCACGTCCACAGCCGTGGTGGCAGAGGGCAGGCTGGGGAGGGGGTGACGGGACCCGTTCCACCATGGCTTGAGGTCCTGAAGCATCTTGTCTTAATTGTTGGGTCTCGTCTTAGAGTGTCGTGCACGTGACGCTTCCTCGTCTTCAGTTAAGGTCCTGCTCACCGATCCCTGGGCCAGCAGGAACCTTCCGTGCCCTGTGCTTCTCCCTGCCGAGATGGAGAAGCAGCGCGTTCAAGCTGCCTTCACCCTGAAAAACGACCCTGAGTGGGTGCCTGGCGTGGGCGGGAACCTGTCCTGTCCTGGATGATGCCTGACAAAATCAATCCTCAGGAGCACTCCCGGGGTGCTTGTCGTGATAGGGAATCCCGAGAGGGGGAGGCAGTCGGGCCAGGTGAGGCTGTGAGTCCTGGTCCTTAGTGCTCCTTCCCTCCCTTTCCAGTACCTGCACCTGCGTTCTGTCCCGCAGGTCCCGAGCGTCTGGGAGCTGCCACCTTGTGGCTGCGAGGAATCAGTGCGTGTCACTAGACTCCACAGTCACAGAGGCTCAGGACCCAAGGGGAAGGTGGGCACCTTCTGGTTCACCCTCCCCTGAGCTGTGCCCGTGGCAGGTGGAGCCCAGCGCCACTCCGCCCCAGCCAGAGAAGGGCGGCCTTAGGGGGAAGCCGACATCTTGCTCGGTTACTTTTCAGCGTTTGAGGGTGTTGAAAATGGGGCTGTTTCTAATCATGAAAAGACCAAGTTCTTTCAGCTGCAAGAAATGTAGAAGTAGAGCCCCCCACTCGCATCCCCAGCCCCTCACAGTCTCCAGAGGCGGCGCACTGTTGCCCCCCCTGCATCTTCCTTTTCCTCCACAACATTCCACAGGAGTTAGCTCATCGGATCTGTAAAGCCCGGATTAACGATTCTAACTTAATCAAACTTACCGTAGACGGCCATGGAATAAAAATACCCAGTTTGAAAACAGGCATGAAGTTGTCCAATAGATCATTATTATTCCACTTCTATTTGGGCATGAAAAATAGAGACCTTAAAATTACATTTGTTACTCTTTCCAATAATAAGCTACTGATTCGGATTACGATGATGAACTCCTCAAATGACAACACCCAGTGGCATCTCACAGAGCCGTGAACGCCCAGGAAGGAAGGCTTCCTTCCGCGCAAGGACTCTCCACTGTGTGAAACAAGGTGGTGTGGTGACAGGCTATGACGTCCAGGTGGTCAGATGAATGGGTCTCTGATTTTGTATTGAACTCAATCATTGCCACCTTAACTGTCGGTTGCGTAGAGTCCTTTTTCCTGGTATTCTAGTGCACAGACCCCCAGTTTGGCACAGAGAGGTCCCCACCCGTAGAGTGTCTCTCCCCATCTCTCCATCCTCCTTCAATCCCAAAGTCACAAGGACAGAGTCAGCCAAGCTGGGCAGAGATTTGGGTAGAAATCGGAGAGCCCTGAGCCCAACCGTTATCCCATGGTTGGGATAAAGGTCGCTGGTGTTCTGGAAAGTGAAAATGTTTGGGTTTCTTTCCTCGATCAAGTCCTTCTTTCGTGGAGTCCTTTCCCACTGCTCTCCTTTCAAAGCATAGGGGTTATAAGAAAGTCATTAAAACATCCTACTTCAGACAGAGATTATGGGGCCTTGGGACCTGGAATGAAAGACACACAAAGCAAGAACAGGTGCTGGTGTCACATTCCGCAGGCTGGGGTGATCCACCCGGGTCGGGTTCCAGCCCTCATGTGTGCACGAGAGGTGGGTCAGGCTTCGTTCCTCTCCACACCCTTCCTGGGAACTCGACAGTTACCGTGAAGTTAAAACTGAAGCCTCAGCCCAGCCCAGCCCCCTCTGATAAAAACAAGTGCAGCTGGGGACAGAGGACAGGAGAGAGGAGACCAGGGTGCCAGGGACAGGAGACCTGGGCTGGGAAGGAAGTGATCGGTGATTAGAAGCCTGGCTGTGGGGGACACCGGCTGTGGTGGGGGGACTTGTGGTCATCTGTGTGCATCCCCACGTGAACATGGGCTCCAGGGGCCACAGCTCGCTGTCGCTGGTTCCAGTGCTGCTGCTGCTGCTGCTGCTGCTGGAGGTGAGCTGGGGCAGGTGCCAGGACCCAGGCCGGGGCCCACAGGCAGGAAGGTCCATGACTAAACGCACAGCTCCTGTTGGCTGTGCCCCCGCTGGGGTGACGGCCTGAGGGAGGGACTGAAAAGGGTGCCCTGGCCATGCCCTGTGAGGTGGGCAGGTGTCTGGGGGAGCCCGGGATCCCCACGGAGTGGGCCATCGGCAGCGGGGCTCCTGAACATATGCGAAGGAGAGGTCTGGGATCACAACCTGTTTGGGGCCGCGCTGGCACTGGGCTAAGGGGACTCGTCTTCCCTGGTTCATACAGCACAGCCATTTTTATCTAGGTTTGTGTTGACCCAAACCTCTGAGGGTACTTCTGTGCACACCTCACATAAGACTGAGATGGTCTGAGCAAACTGAGGGTCGGGGGACTGACCCCCTGCCTCCGCCCTTGGCCACGGCTCAGACAGAAGGATGAAAGGGGGAATCAAGGTCAGGACACGCGTGGGCTTGCCGCGTTTGGGCGCACCATGGGGACTTGCCGTGGCCGGCACTTGACAGGCTGCCAGTGCCACAGCTTTCCACAAACGGAAGGGGCGGGCTCAAGGTTATTGTGTCCAGTTCTCCTGAAGTGGCTGGCCCAGGGCCAGCTGTCCATCTGGGCCAGGCCGCTTAGCATCTGAACCCCGCCAGTCCACCCCCGCTGGCGGTCTGGGCTGACCACTGACCTTGGTTCTCACGTTGGCTCGACGTGGACTCTTCTCGGGAGCTGTCGCACTCCGGAGGCCCGGCCACCTCCCCCAGAGGTTCAGACAGAGCTGATCTGCGGGGTGGCTCTGGCCTTATTGCTTTAACTCATTAAGCCTCACTTGTTAAACCTTATTTTCTTTGCCGGGAAGTGGAGCTAATGTTTGCTCTCCCTGTCCTGGTGAAGGAAGAATGGGGCTTGGCCGGCGTGCCCGTGTGTCCGTGTCCTTCTGGTTTGGCCACATGCCTCTGGTGCCCACGCTGCGACTGTTTACGGCTCTGGGTCGGATGCAGGGGATGGGACAGTAAACAAAGTTGGGGGCACCCTGTGTGTAACCCACATGTTCCAGTGGGGTTCTGCTTCTGACGCGAGGGCCATGCTTGGCAGTCTTGCTTGGCATTGGGAGAATTTTCTTGGTCCCCTTTGGCATTTCCAGTTGCGAATGTCCTCAATCAGACAAGACTCTCACTTTATCTCCCAGCCTTGTCAAGTCCTGTCAATAGTCCCTTTTAATCGTCAAAGCCTGTCCCCCTATTTCTCTTGCTCCTGCCCTTGCCCCTAACTGGTGCTTGTCAGAAAACGCAGGTAGTTTCCTCTTCCCTGTTGTATTAGCAGGGCCCAGCCAGGCGGACTCATGTCTGAGGGTGTGCTGAGGGGGGGCCCGCAGTGGGAAGTGGACCGGGGGTGGTAATTTCAGCGTTTGGTGAAAGAAGCTTTAGACCGATTCCAGGGAATCGAGACAGAGGACAAGAGCTCTGGAGGAAGGAATCGGGTGTTTCCAGCAATCCCCGTCCTGGACCCTCAACAGGGCAAAGCGCTCTCTGCCCAGTGGGTGCTCGGTCTCTTGCTGAAGCGGCTGTAAAGAACCCATTCCTTCCCGCTCCTTTCATTGGCCGCAGAGCTGCCTTACAACCGCCTCTGACATCCAGAACAGGTGCCCACTGGCCCTCCTCTGAGCTCCACATTTAGCACCGGGCCCCATCCTGCCGGAGCGCTCTTCTATCTACAACAGTTTTCCTCTGAGACCCCACCTCTTTGCCGTCCTGGGGACATAGAGCAAGTGACAAAGTTGTGGCTTCCCTGCAGGTTTTCGTCTTGGATCCAGATTCGGTGATAGGCCGTGGAAGGGGAGTCCTGCCCTGCTCGCAGGGCAATTTCTGGTCCTGAGGAGTCCTGAGTCCTCTGCTCTGGGCTGTGGCAGGCTTCCAAGATCAGAGAGGAGGGAGGGTTTGAGACAGTGAAATCAGACAGTGCACAAAGTCTCTTATGTTGTCGTTGCTGTTTTTTAACCTGGGAAATTCTAAATCGAATTATTTAAAAAAAAAAAACTGTCAGCACCGATGTTCTGCCTGGTTAATTTACGAAGTGCCCATCCAAGAACAACACTTAGTGGGTTGCAGAAGGTGAGAGATGGTGTGGCCGGGGGGTGGGGGAGGGTTGGAGCCAGGCACTCGGCAGGGACGGAGCAGGCTGGCTTTGTCCTGAGAGCCCTGGGGACCCAGAGACATGATGAGGTCCGCACTTTTAAAGATCACCTGAGCTTCTGTATAGAGAACATACCTGGGCAGTAGATTAACCTCCTAGGGCTGCCGTGGCCGAGAGCCACACACTGGATAGCTTCGAACACCGGAAATGCACAGCGTAGCGTCATTGTTCGTCGTGCCACACTGCACACTTGGATGTGGCTGAGAGAGTAGATCTTTAAAGTTTTCATCACAAGAAAACTAAATCTGTAACTCTGTGTGTTGACAGACGTTAAGGAGACTTATTGTGGTTGATCATTTTGCAATTCTGTGCACATCAAATCACGACGTCGCACACCTTAAAGCGAATACAATGGCATACGCCGATTACAGCTCTATTTCAAAAAATCCTCCTTGAATGCAAATTTGCAATAAAAAATGAAATATTTTCAGGACAGAATCATTTCTATGCGGGCTTCGTAGTTCCTTAGCATCCGCTGTAGACACAAAGCCCTCCTGGACCTGGGTTATCTCCCTCCAACGACGTCTTGGCTGCTCGACCAGGGCAGCCTGGACTGTCCTGGTCCTGTGTCCCCACGCCTAGCACCACCTGTCAGATGATGTGTGCGTGACCCTTGCAACCAGATGCCCGCCTGGCCCGTAACCATAGGGGGACACTGCGGTCAGAGACGTCCAGCCGCGAGGAAGTTTCCTCCCCTCACATTACAGAAACCATACATACACCGTTTGGATGGCATCCTCTTTGGACCAACTACCTAAACTTGGCAGGGATGGGAAATATAATAAGCACACTTACAAAGTCATTTCAGCATATATAAACTTTTTCTGGTCTTTGTGCAACAGCCAGATGTGATCGCGTGATTTGCGAGGCGTGCGTGGAGGGGAAACGTGAAACACACAGAGTGTCAGGTGTGCAAACCTCGGAACCCACACTCTCACGTGGCTGTTGGCTGAGCTGTTCAGGTGCTGGCAGAGTGAAAGCACAGAAGCTTGAGTGTGGAAAGGGCCCTTGAAGCCTCATTTACAGAAGGGGAAACTGAGGCCAGCAATGAGGAGAAACCTTGATATATTCCTTGTTGGTGGGCTGGGCTCACCTGGGGGAATAGATCTGTGCTGGAAACGGAATGAATTTCTTCATTCTTTTGCAAAAACTGCAATTTTCTCCATTTTGAAATCATATAGCTGGTTAGACCATTTATTTAAAACCACTGACACGAATCAAAAAGCATTCAATGTCTGAATAAATCGATGTTTGAGATTTTGGAACTCCAAGACTTTAAAAATTCTTTTCCTTTAAGTGAACAGAAATGTAGCCCGTAGCAGGAAACAGATACCATCACCGTCCTTGACGTTAATGAAACAGGACAAGCTGGTGATGTCCGCCCCCCACCAGGAGGGTGACGGGCCACAAGGGAAGGACACACGAGGTATGTGTGTTCATTTTCTGTGAAACCGCTAACACCCAGTCCATCGGGCACCGTGTGCCTTATAGCAAGGACAGACCCTTATGGGTGCAAAATGACCAGGACCAAGGAGGCTCACTCACCCTGTCCCGGAGACTGAGGCTTGGTCCTAGAGTAGCTGGGGTCCGACCGTTTGCTCTCAGGACAACTTCACACACATCACATCACTGGGAGCCCAAAGAGCTCCTGCTGGCATGGGATATATTTACTACGAGTCACCAGAAATTAAGACTGGGACATTGTAAGTTTTTCTCAGTTTGTTAAAGATAATACTAAACCCAGTACATGTGAGTGGATGCCACGTGCTTTTATGAGAAATAACCATATTTTTAAAGAAATTCTGTTTAGCGTGAAGAGTGGCACTGTTTTATATTCTTGCAAATCTCTTGTTCTAAAAGAGGAAGGCCGGATTCTGCTCTCCGAGTCCGCTCTCAGTCTGTTGTAAATGTTGTTTAGTTAAAGGACATGAAGAACTTCTGGTCTCACACATACATGCGTACAGAAAGGGAGGAATATTTGAATGACCTTGAGCAGATAACCGTGGACATCCTTCTTTGATATTACACCAAAGCTTGACAAGTGGTGTGTTTGAACAATCTGAACACATCTTCATAAACCTTCCGTGCTCTGTTACCTCAAAACCAGCGGCCTGTCTGTCTCGTGTTTTGGATGATCCTTCCCTGTGCATGACTTCGGAACGTCGTGCGTTAATCAGTAGGAAACTCTCGGCTCACGGAGTTGCGCAGATCTTCCAAGTGTTGACAGGTTTCATTCCACAAAATCAGAAAATCACTCATTAATATCTCCACGGATATCACCAGAAACATCTGGAAGTTCTGGGAAGCCGTCAAGCCCACGGTAGCAGACGTAAGTTTTCCAACATTCTAAATTTTGGCTGGAACGCTTCCCTTTTGTCACTGGCAACATGACTCCCCCCACGGTTCCTCTTGAAGCGATAGGCTCACTCGCTTACCGTCGAAGTACCATCTGCAAGTGCCCAAATCTGAGCGACACAGTCCGGCAGTCAGTCTTTCAAGGAAAATGCTGTCCCATAAAAACGTGGGCCGTTCAGCTGGAGACTCCAGCCGGCACCCGCCTGCTTCCGCTGAGACTCTGCCCCGCGGGGCCGCCTGCAGAGTCCTGCAGATGCGTATCCCGGCGGCACAGGACGGTCACGCTGGTGGCCTTTACTGCTTCATCGGTTCTCAGGGGACGTCAGTAATCGAGTCACGTCACCCATTACTTCATTCCTAAACGCAACAGGCTTTTCCTTCCCTTCTTCCTGCACATGTGTGGGGACGAGGACGCAGCCATCTGTCCCATCCGTGCAGATGTCCTGGAGGAAAATCAGCACAGGACTCTGGTGGCATCAGGCACCCCGGCGGACCCCACTCAGAAAGCTGCTGCTCCCCGGAAATTTCCTCTCCGCGCAGGGAAGTTTGTGACCGCGGCATTTCTGTTTAAGCGAAAACAAACAACGAGTAATCCAGATAACCAGCCCCAGGAGGATGACTCAAGGAACTGTCCCCTGTCCCTGTGCTGAAAGGCTACCCCGTAGTGAAAACGGGCGGACGAAAGGCACAGGGGTCAACACACCCACACAAGCTTGTTACGTGTGGTTGTGACACACTCTGCACTGCCTGTCTCTATTCCCACAGTGTCACCGTGCACGTGTGGCTGTCCTGGGGTGTGTTGAGACGTAAATAATAAATAATTCTCGATGTAGATCACCATATAAGTGAAAAGTACTGAGTTTGTTTTATTGATTATGATAAGATAAAATCTAAAAATAAGGAAAAAATAAAAGAGGAAACGGGGAAAAAAGTCCAGTTGCCTCTCTCCACCAGTTAACGTCCGGTGGTATACCACACTTGCCATAAGCACACCGTGCTCACCCCCAGCAGACAGTGTGCTCTCCCCCCATGCTGCGTGCCTACTGTTGCGGCTATGCACTACGGTGTTAAGTGTCCCTGATGTCGGCCAGACTCTGTGAGAATTCTTTTGGTTAGTTCTCCTGCAGATGCTCAGGAAAAGCAGTAAGTGTGACCTGAGATGTCAAGAACAAGAAATTATATTTATACATTAAGGTTTTTTTCTTTTTTTTCTCTCTCTCTCTTTTCTCATTGGAGAAGATTTTGTGTCTTCAGGCAGTTTCTACATGAGTCTGATAAGTGTATCCCCTACTAATTCACATCATTTGTATTTTTAAGGTCAACAGCGTCAACAGCTTCCAACAGGAAGAGGATGATCTTACTGATCGAACAAAGGTGGGGTTTGGAAGTCACTGTCTTCATAAACTAAGTGAGATCACACTTGACTCAGAGATTTGATTGCAGTTTCAAGGTTTTTAGTTCCTGGTCAATGTTCAGGTTGCAGAAAATAAATTAGTAACCAGATGTGGCCTTTTGGAATCTTGAGGGGCTGCTAGGGAGTTGTAGAGGATTCTTTTATGTCTCCTAGAATATGAAGAATCTGCGAACCTCAGACACCAGCCACATGGCACTGGCCCAGAGCTTCCTCCTCACTGTTTTCCTCTTTATGGAGTTAAAATATATGGGATTGACATCGTCCAGTGTGTGGACTTTGGACAGCCCAGGAGCTCAGGCCACCTTACGAATACTTCCTTCCCGTGGTTCTTATCAGCAACTCATTTTCTAATTAAATACAGTTGACCTTTGAACAACATGGGTTTGAAGTGTGTTGTCCCCTCACATGCTGATTTATTACAGGACAGGGCAAGTGCGTGAATGTATTTTCTATCCTTATGAACTTTCTTAATGACGTTGTCTTTTTTGTAGCTGACGTCATGCCAAGAATACGGTATATAATACATAAACGTAGAGAGCATGTGCTAATTGACCGCTCGTGTTATCAATAAGGCTTCAGGTCAACAGTAGGCTGTTAAGTTTGGGGAGAGTCAAAGTTTCTACAATGATTTTCGGGTACCCCTGGGGGCAGTGCCCCAGCCCCGCATTGTTTCAAGAGTCAACTATAATTTTTGAAAAGGCTCACATGTTTGTAGATAAAAATTAATATGTAGATTAAAATTTAATTTTAAATTAAAATTAAAGCACCTTTGCTTGCAGTAAGTAGTCGGTTAAACCCTGTGGTCCCTCACCTGACAGTCTCTGAGCCCAACGTCTGCATCTGAGTCTCTCCCTGTTGAAAGGGAGAGTAGTCGATGAAAAGACGTTGAAGGCCCATCACCCCTGAATGGAGACGTTCCTAGTGACTATTTCAGAAAGACAGAGGGCAACAGGAGGGAGGACCTTGCTCGTCCACTCAGCGGCTGAGGGCGTGTCTGCCATAGGGCAGGTGCTGGCACATGGTAGGCAATGATTTTAAATGTGATCTCTAATACGATCTCAGGATCCGTGTAAAATCAGTGGGTGGCCCACAGTCTAGAAATGCCTCTAAGGTTGTCAAGAGAACTGGCATTTTAAATTTCTAAGCATTGGAGGCGGCTATGAGGACACCCGTCTGTGCTTGTCACATCACATCGCCGTCATCCTCATGGTCGTCACTGTAATTTTAGGAAGAGAGCCACCGGCCTCTACGGCGATCCAAGAGAAGATGGATTATTACCACCCTGGAGCTGGAGGAGGAAGATCAAGGACCCTTTCCCAAACTTGTTGGGGAGGTGAGGAGGGTCCCCCGCCCCCCTCTGTAGGCACGCCTCCCCTTGTCAGGAGGAACGAGTGTTGAAGGGCTACGTGCTAGGGAGGCCGGGGAGTGCAGTGGGCAGAGGAATGCCGCACTGGCTTCTAGAACCTGCTCTACCTCCACCCGGCGGGGGGGCTTCGGGCAGGTCCCTGCATGTGAGCGTGCGCTGACGACGTCAGTCCCGTGGGACGAGGCTGCGTCCCTCCAGCCTGCTGGCCTGCTTTCTTTGGCCCACGCCAATGTATTATTTAAAAATAAGGAGCCTGCAGTTACCAGAGACTGGGAGGTGGTGGGAAAAGGGAGATTTGAAAAACAACTAAAGAGAAAGCAAAAAGCCACGGCTACCAGGGCCAGTGGAGGTCATGGGGGTTTACTGTGTGAGGGGGGCAGAGCTTCCGTTTGGTAAGATGACGAGAGCTCTGGAAGCGGATGGGGGTGATGGCCACACAACAGCATGAGTGTGCTTGGTCCCACCCGACCGCACACTTCAAGATGATGAAGGTAGAAAATATCATGTTGTGTGTATTTTACCACAAAGAAATGGAACTGATAGGAAGATTGTACTAGAAATTCTGTACTTCTAGAGACTTTCTGACAGTCAGAAGGTCTGCCCACAGGGAGCCTACGTTCCCACACGGCAACAACTGGATGGGGCTTGAGTTTCCCACGGTCCCCCCACTCCCTGTTGTCTCCCTCCCTCTGAGGTCGAAGCCATCATGCGACCATGTTGGGATGACAGAATATTTGCACGTGGCCCATGTCATTCTTGCCATGACATGCCTGACCCTATGGACCTGTGAATTACACTGAGTCACTCGGTCCCGACAGCACTGACATCCTATGATTTCTGGAGAAAGAAATTAAAATAACTCATATTTTTGCAGCATTTATAAAAATAGTAGATGCCTGCTATAAAAAAAAAAAAAAAAGAAGAAGAACGTTTTCAAGACTCAATGGTTCAGACTCTCCACTCCCAAGAGTCCAGGGGATGCTGTGGCCTCATACTGCAGGCGCCACACACGCCTGCTGTAGGAGCCCCGCCTCCTCGCTCTTTCCCACCGTGCAGTGCGGTCAACGAGAGCACCGACCTTGTGGGGCTGTTTTAAGAATTAAACAGGCAAGGGCACGAAAGGCATAGAGTCCGCTGGCTCATTCTAAGCCCTTTCTCCATGTTAGCCACACAAGTGCTCCCCCTCTCCCTGAAGGAATCACTCGTGTTAACCCCTTCCAGAGAGTTCTCTAGAGTCTCACCGAGGGGAGTCCACCTTGACAAGATGGTGCAAGATCGTTCCGCAACTTGTCTTTCTGGTTTACCCGTGAGACGCGGCCCCCTTTCTGGGGCAGAGTGTGTTAAGTCCTGATGGCTGGGGGCCCTGCCCCGTGGAGGGGGTACTGCGCTAGGATTCTTCCCTAGGGAGGGACACGTGCGTTCTTCCCACTGGCTCACTGTGACAAACCTCACGCCCGCCTCTTTGCACGTCTCTCTGTTTCCTTCAGATAAACCCTCAGGTGAGCGATTTCGAGGCGTGGGGCTCACCAGATGCCTGAGTCCCGGCCTTGATATTTGGTGTGCCTCGTGGTTTATTCTCATCCTCTTTTCTCCCGTTATTTTTTCCCTTGCAGCTGTTCAACGATATGTCATACAACATGTCATTAATGTATTTAATCAGTGGACCTGGTGTGGACACGTACCCGGAGATTGGTTTGTTCTCTATAGAAGGTCACAGGAACGTAAGAGTGTACGTTCACCGCCCTGTCGACCGGGAGACCACGCCATCTTTCAAGGTACCCGACATCTGATACATTCTCCGCTTGGGCTTATAGCAAAGCTGTGGCAGGACCAGTATATGCGGCAGGCCTTAGTTGAACCGCCCAAGTGCCATGTCACGGGAGCCTGCCCATGATGCGATGGCGGCTTTACAGCACGCATGGGCCGACAGGCTAATTTTGCAACGTTCTTTTAAAGTTCTGGACGCTGGGATGAGGTATGGGAACTGACCCAGATCTTCCTTCTAATGACTGGATTCCCAGCACGATCAGGATACCCAAAAGCATTTGGGGTTAAGGCTATAGAATGTTTATAAAAATGGGCTAATTTGGCTTTTGATGAGTCACAGTTGAAATGTGTGGACAGAGGCTACGAGCAGACCCCACAGTTGCCTGACGGACAAGCGATCCTGCAACTGGTGTCGGCTTGTCTCGTGACTCCCCGGGTTCGTTAGGATCTCATAACCCCAAGACCGTGGTCTCCTCTGAATCTGAAATCCAGGTTCAAAACCAGGAAAGGAAGCGATTAAGTAAGATGCCTAAACCACATGGTGGTGTATCAGGCAAGCAGCCTCCCTGGGAGGGGACGCTCAGGATGCTGGGCTTTGGTGTGCTTTGACTTCTGCTGGAGGCTGAGTGCGGTTCTCGGGACTGCTTGTCGGGGCATTAACTCCTTCAGGGTGGGAAGGAACACCTCAAAGAAGTAATTTTATACATTTTCTCCAACGGCCTCAAAGTATTTATATGCATAATAAAATAGATGCCCTTAACTCATTGATAGGCACGGAACCTCCAGTCTTTAAGCAGGGAGAAATTCTCCCCGAACTCCAGAAGTCGGAGATGACTCTGCCAGCCGTCACTGTAGTCACATAGACCCTAGCCTCATTTGTGGAATGTGCCGATTCTGTTAGAAGGAACCTAGAGTGGGTCCCAGGGGGACCTGGGCAGGCCTGCTAAATCTTGAGTGAGCAAACAGATCACCAAGGGATCTTGTGAAAATGCAGATTACGTTTCCGTAAGTCAGAGGGAAGCCCGAGCCTCTGCCCTCCAGCCAGCTCCCAGGAGCGGGTGCTGCCACTGCCCCATGGCTGCCACGTGCCCAGTGCGGAGGGGCCGTGCGCCCAGTGCGGAGGGGCCAGGACAAAGAGCAGTGGGTGCGACTCGTGCAAGGTCGCAGCACAACATTTCGTGCTCCTGGTCTTTGTTTTGCTGTTGTTAGCTTTTAACAGCTTTACCAACGTTTCCAGGGTTCGCTTTCATGAGGTTTAATATGGGACTTTTTGCTGGAAGCTGGTCATGCCTCAGCCAAGTCCACGGGAGTGTTTTCTGACATGTGAGGCCCAAATGGAAAAGCTCCGCATGTCCCACAGAGGTCCCAGGGAACGAACAGTCAGAGCAAGTGGGAAAATGTGGGGACATGAGCGACGTCCACACGTGTCCTGTTCCATCAGGATTTCCAAACCTGTGCTTGGACCTGCTGGGTGAGCTCACACCTGCGATCCGATGGCCCCAACTGCAATGGAAGCCGTCGTTTTACATCAAATTCTGTAATCCGTGCTAGCTGGCCCCTCATCTGACTGTGAACTTCCACGAGGGAGGACACAAGGTGGGGATGTGGAGGTGGGCCCCAACCCTGTGGCTCTGTCTCAGGCCTCCATGACTTCTCACCACCTGAGCTGTAGGCCGGAAACGTGCTTGGTTCTCTGCCGGTGGTCCATCTCCCCCCAGGCACGCATTTCCCCGAGTCGGGAATAGGGCTCTGCACACAGTAGGTCTTCAGCCCATTATGTTGGATGAATGAATGAGCCCAGCAGAATGTAGTGTCTGCCTCCAAGTGTTGTGGGTTGAACTGTGTCTTCTAAAAAGATGGCTTCAAGTCCTACCCCTGGTATATGACCACATCGGGATATAGGGTCTTTGTAGACATCATCAAATTAAGGTGAGGTCATACTGGATTAGGGTGGGTCCGAATCCAGGCACTGGCATCCTTCCAAAGGGAGGGAGGTTTGGACCCAGAGGACAGAGGCGAGAACGACAGAGACGGGGTGACACATCCATAGGCAGAGGACACTGGGATTGCTGGACGTCCCCAGCAGCTGGGGGAGAGGCTCGGACCAGAGGGAACCCAGCCTGCTGACCCGGATTGCAGGTCTTGTCCCCGGAAGCACGGGACAGCACGTTTTGTTGGGAGGCACCTGGTTGTCATAGCAGAGAGAGGAAACTAGCAAGCAGAGGTTAACAGACTCTCCAGGAAGACAGAAACAGGCTGATGAGCAGGTCGCCAGCCGTGAAGAGTGGGCTAAGCCGGGGTCACAGGGACACCGCCCAGGCCGGGCCTTCCAGCTCAGCCACTGCCTCTGCAGAAGGATGCCTGCTACGGGCTCTCGCCGCGCGTAAAGCCAGCGTCTATTAGAAGCGACGTCAGCCCAAGGGTGGGCAAAAGGGCCTTCCCAGTAGCACTGCTGTGCTCCTGGGGCGTGAGAATTAGCCAAAACCATGAAAAGCTTGTGTTTGGGGTGGGGGGGGCGGGGAGGGGCTCACTTCTTGATAATTCCGTAAGCCTGTGAGAGCGCCACGGCGGCCGCCGAGCTCTGCCGCAAGATGCGACGCGGCCGGAAGGGGGACGAGTCTGAATCTCTGGGCAGGATCTCACCCGTTTATATCAGAACATGCTCAGTGCCATCGGATACAAACACACGCAGCAAAGTCGTTCTTCGATATTCCTCGAATCCCCGGCGGGCCTTCACGCCGACACACTCCTCGCCGCCTTCTTGCACCGACGCGTACAAGGGGCCTCGTCTAGCGTGTGTGCCTTTTCTCCCGTGTGCTCGTCTGTGACCAAGAGCACCTGACCCGCCCTGTCATTTCGGTGGTCGTACACCCCCCTCCCCCCGGAACGCCACCACACTGCAGTGTGTCATCCCAGGAGGTAAATCTTTGAGTCTGTAACAAAAGGCTGAAAACCCTTTCCAATGCAGACGACATCCATGACCTTCCCTTTCCCCGCTGCGATTCTGAGTCCCCGGAAGTTCTGAGCGTCTTGCCAAGGCGTAAACAGCACTTGGGCCTCCCAGGCGTCCCAGAGAACTGACGGTCTCTGATGTGGCTTTTAGGATCATAAATGGAATGTAAGATAATAAACCCAAAACAAACAGGCAGTGCTTATTTTTAAGTGGAAGCCTTGCAGTTGGCGCCGTGTCAGAGCCAGACGTCCGCGTGACTCGGGAGCCGAGTTCCCGGCGCGGCCATAAATTATACAGGAGCCTGCGGAGATGGCGTGCGAGAAGCCAATTTGCTTGCACAGAAATTTAAAAATGTATGTTGCATTCCCCGGAACAGACCAGTTCAGTGGTCTTGAGGGGACAGGAGACAGCTAACCCCGGAGAGCCTGGGGCCCCGGCCACTGTTGCGGGAGCGCTGTGGGGACCACCATGGTGGAGGCTGATGAGGGGAAGCCGACAAGTCTGCAGGAAAGAGGCCCAGGGAGGTCGGTGCGGCAGAGACCCCGTGGGCTCTGGGGAAAGGGGCGGGCTGCTGCCTGAGGCTGGAGGGGGCCGAGAGCCCGGGAGCTGAAGCTGCCGGCTCTGGGCTCTGGGTGGCTGTGGGCTTGGGACAGCCAAGTCCGCAGCTACTTGGACTTGAATCTGGGCTGCGCCGAGTGTGGACAGCCACGGAACCTCTCCGTGGCGCGCAGTGGGGCGCCAACAATGCCTCCCTCCCGGGCTTCTGCAAGGAAGGGAGGAGGGGGTCGGCGGAGGAGCTCGGTCCTGGGCCTCGCTGAAGCCGCTTCCCCGGAACAAACCCCGTGCTTGCTCCATGTCCCTTAGCAGACAGCCCGCGAGGAAGCACCGTTCCCAGAGCAGACTGTCCTCCGCCTGGAGAGCGACTCCGCGCGCGACGTCCCTCCTGCTCACTCTTTTTCTGGGACTCTGAACTCTGGCCTCAGCGCTGACCCCCCACAGTCTTTTCACCTTTCTACAAAAAAAACCACTGTTCATCCGAGAGCAGCAGAGACTCAGCGGCAAGTCGCATCAGACTTACTTTAACATGTAAACCACATGTATTATGTATATTCTATAACACATCACATATGTTATGTATATATTATTATGTATGTATATTATATTATGTATATGTGTGATATATAATATGCATAACACATGTAATATATTATATAATATACGTAATATATGTAATATATAATACATATATTGTGGTGACAACATATAACAATTACTGAGGGTCCCAATATATAATACGTAACATCTGTTATATATACTGGGTGGCTCAGTGGGTTAAGAGTCTGACTGTTGATTTCGGCTCAGGTCGTGATCTCAGGGTCCTGGCATGGAGCCCTGCAGCGGGCTCCGCGCTCAGTGGGGCGTCTGCTTGTGACTTTTCTCCCTCTCCCTTTGCCTCTCCCCACCTGGCTCTCTCTCTCAAATAAATAGATAAATCACTTTTTGAAAGTATTTATACGGCGCTCACTTCGGTAGCATGTAGACTAGAACTGGAATGATCCAGAGAAGATTACCATCGCTCCTTGGAAGGATGGCAGGCAAATTTGTGAGGCGTTCTTTATTTAGAAAAACAAAAATAAATCGTAGATATGGTTGCCCGCTTTTTATTTTATACGTAGGGACTTTTTAAAATTAATACTTTCTTTTTAGAGCTGTTTAGGTTGATGGAAGAGGAGAGTGGATAGTACAGAGCGCCTGCTCCCCCTCAGTCCCCCCCACAGGTCCCCTTCTCACTAACGTGGTGCATCGCTGCTGTACATTTACGACAGCGTTTGAGCCAATACGATACGCTCCCATTAGGGCTCACTTCCGGGGCTGCCCACTCTATGCATTTGGACAAACTGTCTATGACACGTATACACCCTTACAGTACAACACAGAGTATTTTCACTGCCCTAACAGTTCCCCCAGCCTCTCCATTGTCCATCCATCCCTCTTTCCTGAGCCCCCGGCAACCCCGATCCTTTTGCTGTCTCCCTATTTTGCCTTGTCCAGGATGTCACATGGTTGGAGTCATACGGGGTGTATACGGCCTGCTCAGACCGGCTTCCCTCACTTAGCAGGGTGCACTGCAGAGTCCTGCAGGTCCTGTTAGTGCGGGATAACGCTCCACCATCTGGACGCACGGCAGCTTGTCCATTCACCAAGTGAAGGACATCTCGGTTGCCTCCGTGTTTGATGATTATGCATAAAGCCACTTTAGACATCTGCGTGCGGGTTTTTGTGTGGTCGTAAGTTTTCAACGCTTTTGCATAAATATCAAGGAACATGATTGCTGGTTTGCACCATTAGAGGATGTTTTGTTTTGTAAGAAACCGCCAAAGGAATGAGGAATTATTTGCCATCTGTATATCTTTGGAGAAAAAGATATTTGTCTGTTCAAATCCTTTGCCTATTTTTAACATTTGAAAATCAATTTTAGCAAGGTCCCAGGAAATAAAGTTAATATATAAAAATCAATTGTATTTGTATATACCAGTGGAAGTCAATGTTTTAAAAGCAGTATCATTTATAATATCACCAAAACAAATGAAGTGCTTAGACATAAATCTAAAATCTGTGTAGGATCTGTTTACTTAAAGCTATAAAACACAAATGAAAGAAACCAAGGAAGACCTAGTTGAACGAAAAAACAGACTATATTTACGGATTGAAAGATTGAGTATTAAAGGCATAATTCTTCCCAAATTTATCTATAAGTTCTCTAGACTAATTGAAAGACTAGCAGACCTTTGCATCGATCTCAACAAGCTGAAACCAAACTGTATATGGGAAGGCAACCAGCTTTTGGTTGTGTTGACTTTGTTTTGCTATTCTGAATCTTACTGATATCTTGTTTTTATCTTTATTATTTCCTTCTCTCTGTTTGAGTCTAATTTGCTCCTTTTCAAATGATTTATTTATTTATTTTAGAGAGAGAGAGACAAAGAGACAGAGAGACAGGCGGGGCAGAGAGAGAGAATCCCAAGCAGACTCCCGGCTGTGTACGAGCCCCACACAAGGCTGGGTCCCTTGACCCTGAGATTGTGACCCGAGCCGAAATCAAGAGTCTGATGCCTAACCGACTGAGCCACTCAGGCGTCCCAATTTGTTCCTTTTTTTTTTTTTTTTTAAAGTTCTTAAGAAACCGAAGTGAGAAGCCCGTAGTATACCTTTGAGATCTTTTGAGAGGAAAGACTTCTCGTGGCATGTTTGAGACAAGTGGACCCTCCTTCTTCAAGCACAGAAGTGACATCACTAATCACTCCAGAACCCACAATATGTCAACAGCTGGGCTGGTTACTTTCAGTTCCCCTTTCCCAGAACTTCTAATGTCTGCTCGCCATGGTGTCTCCGCAGTATTGGTCAGCGTCTGTATTCTCATGACAGCACCAACAGCAGAAACAGAGGCTCCTAAACAAGGTGGCTACGTTTACCCGGGTAGAAAGACTGAGATCAGAACCCGATCATAACTAATATTTACTGAGCACCTCATCCATGCCAGCACTGTGCTCAGTCCCTGGGGTCATGTGGTGAAAGACAGCAATGACGTGGTCTCTGGCCCCAGAAACTTTGCAGCTTGTGCAGGAGAGGACGCGGAACACGCGAGGACATTAACATGTACCGTGCCATCAAGCAAACGATCCCACAACATTAACTTCGCTTTCTGCTTCCCAGGTTTACTTTGACATCATGGATCGCTTTACGGGAAAGCTCTTGGATAATTCCTTGATTTTCAACATTAGGATCCGTGATGTGAATGATCATGCACCCCAGTTTCCTGAGAAGGAATTCAACATCAGTGTGAAGGAGAACCACATGGCAGGTGTGTGAGACCAGGGCGCGAGGGCTTCCTCTCCCCGCGGGGCCTCTCTGGTCCCCCGGCTTCGATGCTGGTGTGGTGCCCGATCCTCCTTGTCTTTTGGGAGAAATGTTACTGTTCACATCCCAAAGGTGGCAGGCTCTGGTTTTGAGCAGAATGCTTGGAGGTCTGTAAGCGTCGTTTTGTATGGGCAATAAAATGAGATGGAAATTGTGTCTGTTGCAAGAGCTGATATGTGAAGGCCAGTCTCAAATAAGTCAGATGCACTGAGGGGGAAAGGCAGAGTGGAACGGCGCCTTCCTGGATATCTCTGTAAACTTCTCTCCTGGAAAAAGGCAACGAGATGACATCTCAAGTTTCTGAGCTGCAGAGTCTGTGAGTCTTTAAATCCAAACCAGTCTCACTAGAATGTGCATCTACTTTCATAACAGAAAAGCATTATTTATTTCACAAAAGAGGCTTCAGAAAATTTGGAAAAATTCCAAGAAATTAAGACAGAACTAGAAAGTAGATTTAATACTTGCAATTAGAGGTAAGTACCATCCATGTTTTAGTTTTTATTCTTTCAGTATTTTTCTTTGAATTTTATATGTGTGTGTGTGTACACACACTATGTATTTATCTATGTGTATATATTCTCCGATTTCAGATATAATTAATTATGCATTTTTCATCTTTATCATAGTGCCAAATGTATATGAGTATATATGAAATATTTACAAATGTGCGGGTGTTTTTTCATACTTGTATAGTTATGAATTTTCTTTTCTAAACGGGCAAATTTACTGTTTGTAACCTAACCGTGTACCCCCTCAGCATCTGATTATGTAATATTTTATTTCATGGATGTGCTTAAGGTTTTTTAACTAATCTCCTATTGTTAGACATTGATGCACTATTTCCACTTTTTGTTATCTTCACGAAATATGCTTCAGTGAACATCTTTGAGCTAAATCTGTGTCCACTGAAGCATTACTCACTGGTCACAATTTAGAGGAGTAGAGCGGCTGGTTCTGACCGCACACACAATTTAAGGGTTCCACCGGCAACCTCTGAGGGCACCTGGCACAGGGCTCGTCTTTGATCATTAAATGCTCGCACGTTTGTCCACTTCTGTGTATCGAACAGATACACGGCTCTTTCCTTTGTCCATTTCTGTTTGTGTGCTTGTTGTTTTTCTTCTTGATTTTTAACCTTCTCATTCGGTATTAAAAATGTTTATGTCTGCCATGTATATTTTAAATATGTTTTCCTGGTTTATCATTTCTTTTTTAATGTTGTCTACATAGTTCTTTTTGGCACACACTTAAAAATCTGTGTGCTCTGTCAATGCTCTCCTTTACGTCTTCTGCATTTGCAATCATGATTAGAAAGTTCTCGTGACTACTTAGGGGCGCCTGGGTGGCTCAGTCGGGCAAGCGTCTTCTTTCGGCTCAGGTCATGATCCCAGGGTCCTGGGTCTGAGTCCCATGTTGGGCTCCCTGCTCGCAGGGGTCTGCTTCTCCCTCTCCCTCTATGTGCACTCTTTCTCTCTCTCTCAAATAAATAAATAAAATCTTAAAAAAAGAGGAAGTTCTTTTGACTATTTGAATATCCCTCTTTATTTTTTTATAGCATATCCACAGTTTGATTTTACATTTAAATATTTAATCCATTCTGGTGGATGTCTCAATGCCATTTAGCAAAAAATCATCATTCCATTGGTTTGTCAGGCTTCTTTTGGTCGATAGTAAACATTAAAACAATTCTTTCCAGGTCAACCTATCTTCAAGATGTTAACAGTTGATTTGGATGAAGAAAATACTCCAAACTCTCAAGTCCTTTACTTCCTTATTTCTCAAACGCCATCACTGAAAGAAAGCGGCTTCCAGATTGACCCGATTAGCGGAGAAATGCAGCTGTCAGGATGCTTAGATTATGAGGTTATGTGGAATTTATTATTTTGAAAAAATGAGATGTGTTCTTGGTCTCAGAGCCCAGACTTAAGATTTATGTTTATAGTGGAAAACCCCCTGTGGCTGGCCTTGCTACTGAATTTGCAATAGTGCATTATTACTTTATTAATACCTCCCTTTGCTGTATGTGAGGGCTTGACTGTTCCTGTCCTTCCCACCTAGACTGCTCCGCGGTTTACTCTGCTTGTTGGAGCGAAGGATTTGGGAGAACCTCCCTTGACGTCCACGGCCACAGTTCACGTGAACGTGCAAGAAGGCAACAACCACCGGCCCACGTTCACCCGGGAGAACGTAAGGCACCTGGACGGCCCGAGATGCCACATCCCCGACCCCGAGTCCCCAGCTCAGTCCCCAGCTCAGCTCCGGAATTCTCCGTAGCCCCCAGGATACACGTCGCTCTCCAAGATCACTCAAACGAGATGGAGGCGTCCCCCGTCCTGACAGAGAATCATTGAGTTACAGACTTGTGAGCTCACGTGTCCTTTTACTGTTTTGAGCCGAATACTGTGCTCGGAACGCTCACGTGCGTGCTTCCGTCTGGAACTGGCGGGACTCGCACGTGATGTCTGTCCTACAGACGGGGACGCCGAGGCACTGGGGAAAGAGGGGGACTCCGTGCTCGCGTGGCAGGGAAGTCTCCCAGGTCTGCACTAGTGACCCGGGACGGGGAGTTTGTGGTCGCGGGGTCAGGGTCGGCTGCCCGGTGCTCTGCAGGATGCTGGGCAGCCGACCCTGACCTCTGCCCACGAGATGAGATGCCAGGGGCACCTCCCAGGCATGAGAGCCCAGAATGTCTGCCGCCATTGCCCGGCATCCCCTGGAGGGCAGGCTCGCCGCCGGGGTGAGAAGCTAGACCTGAGCTTTTCCTACAACATCTGGAGTTCTGGAATAGGGAAGATTTCTATATAGGGCTCCACACGGGATTTCACACGCTGCCAATCCCCGTGCTTGAAGAAAGCCCTGGAACCCGTTGTGGCAGATCATTTGGAAATGCCGCATCCCTTGAGATAGGCAAGATTGCTAAAAACACTCAGGACTGGTTTCCTAGTTCATGTTTTTTGCTCTTTCATTTGCATTTTTAAAAGAAAAATATCCATTTTACTTCTTTCTCCTGACCTCTCTCAGTGAGACCTTTCCCAACAACCGAGTTCAATCCCCAACACAACATCCCATCCACAGTCCCTACCCAATGCGCACACGTGCGTGCGCGCGCACACACACACACACACACACACACACACACACTCATCTGCTCCCTGGGGATGGAGTTTTGCGGATCCCGCTCACACACCTAAGATAGAATCTGGCATGTTGGAGCCTTTGTTGAATATTGATAAATGCTACAAACAATTATTTTCAAAAAGTATCATTTGAAAAAAAATGTAAAATCTGTATACCCACGGGGTACCTCGGTGGCTCAGTCGGTTAAGTGTCCAACTCATAATCTCAGCTCACGTCTTGATCGCAGGGTCGTGAGTTCGAGCCCCACCCTGGGCTCCATGCTGGGTGTGGAGCTTACTTAAAAAAAAAAAAATCTTAAAAAAATTATACAGAAAAGCTGAAATGTTTTCAAATGAAAACACTTTGCCAAACAGTACAGAATAACTAAAACATATTGAACCTTGTTTTGAAATCCTTCTCTGGCTTAGTCAAAAGCTCTGCTCTCAAGACCGAGGGTGGGGAAAATAAGTCCTTTTTTCCACGTATGTGTCAACGAGAAATTATCTTGTCACCGAGAGCACTAACAAACTACAGATCTACATATGTTAGAAAAATGATTGTCCTCATCTAAGCCAGCATAAGAGTTCTATTTGAGAAGAGCTACGTTTTTTAACAGCGTAAACTTGGATGTCCATTATGATGTTAAAGATTCTAGGGAAAACAGTGCATCGAGTAGGAGTTCAGAGGACTTTGAAAGCTGCTCAGCTGCAGACACGAGTCACTGAGTCACCGGGAGAAGGAAGAGAGGCTTGCGGTGTGGGTGGGATCAGGTGGAGCTTCAGATCGCTCGAGGTCAAGTTCCAGAGCAAGGGAAGTAACATTTCCACGTTCCCGGGCGGAGGGCTTACGTTTTCTTCCCTGCTTTCTTTTTCAATTGTGTGTCTCTACCTCCACGGCGCGGGCACGACGGTTGCCTCCCCCAGTACAGGATTCAGATTTCCGAAGGCCGCACAAGCCCGAGTGTGTTACGTCTCCCGGTCCGAGATGGGGACTTGCCATTTACGTCAGCCTGGAGAGTAAGATTTCACATACTGAATGGCAACGAAGAGGGACATTTTGACATTCTGACTGACCCCGAGACCAATGAAGGGATTTTAAATGTGATCAAGGTAAGGCCGTCGGGGGTCGTGGGCGGGGGGGCCCTGCCAGGTAGCTGCAGTGCCGGGGCCTCTCTTCGCAGGAGTCCCGGGAGCGAGGTGGGAGCTGGCGCTGGGGGATGCCTGCTGGGTGCCAAGCACGTGAGCTGGGGTGTGTTGTGTATCCAGTGGTGCCCAGCGAGGAGGGCAGGCTGGGTCAGGACCGCCAGCTGCCCCAGGCCCTTGGCCCTTCTGTCTTCATGGCTCCTCCCACCAAAATAATACCAATACTGAAAATGACTTTTGACATGGTGCCAGGTTCTTCAACATTTAATTTTTTCTGTTTGAGGCAAAATGGATTTATATATAGAATTATGCAGGCAAAATAGATTTATGTAGATTCAAATAAAAATTTTTAAGACATTTTCTCTCATCCTGAGAGATCATGTTTTTCTTCGGAGTCTAAAAGTCATTCCAAGGTGTACCTGGGCCCCTACAAGTCCTGTGGGCTCCTGGCACTTCGCCTGGTGCGCCTGAGGACAAGCTGGCCCCACAGAAAAGTAGTATTTTCTCCTTTCACCAACAAGGAACCAAAGCCCAGAGAGGTTGGGTTGTTTTCACGAAGTCACACAGCTGGAGGAGGGGTTCTGACGAAGGTGGTCACTCTACTGCTCTCAGCTAGACCCTGGAGTGACCGGTGCTCCTGGGTCGGGTGGGCGAGTCAACCTGGGATCAGGCATCCCCTGGAGGTTCAAAGATCAGGTTCAAAGACAGTCCTGGGTCAGAGGGTCAGGGGTGGGGCCTGGGCTCCGGCCTGTCGGAGGAATAGGGTGCTGGGCGACGCCCGTGGGCCCCAACCATGCTGTGAACAGCAGTGCTCAGGGGAGCTCCGAGCCAGATGCCGGGACAGAATATCTCACATACTCCTAGCTGTTCAGTCCTTTTAAGTCACTGCCCACTCTGCACCATGAGCAACTGTGATCATTAATTTCTGTATTTCCTTAAGCTCCTGTGTTTTTTTTTTTTTTCTTTTTTTGCAGCCGAGTTGCCCCATTAATGTTTCATTAGGTTATGGTTTTTGTTGCATTTTTCATTTCTCTCTGATGGATGATGGCTCTTTTCAACCCAGAGAGGGGGAGGAAAATAAAAACCCAAAAAAAACAGAACTCTGTAAGCGATTTAAAAATGGGCCGGCAACTGCCTTTTGATCATTACCAAAGACAGCGTCAATAATACATGAAACGCAAAGCCACATGCTCGGGTGTGCGCGGCCCCGTGCGGAGCGTCCTCCCCAGGGAAGCAGCAGGTGCTCATGAAACCCTGTCTCTGGGTCCCGCAGCCCTTGGATTATGAAACGCGCCCTGCACGAAGCCTCGTCATCGCCATGGAGAACGAGGAGCTGCTCTTCCCCTGCGAGGGGGGCCGGGTCCGGGGGCCAGGGGGGGTGGCGGCCAGCGCCACTGTGAGCGTGCAGGTGATGGACACCAACGACCCGCCAGCCTTTCACCCCCGGAGCTTTGTCGTCAGCGAGGTCGACGGCGCCGGGCCTGGAATTCAGCTGGGAGTTTTCAATGCTACAGATCCAGACAGAGCGGCCGGCCCGGTAAGGTGAGAAGAGAGGAACGGGGAGGGGGTCGTTTCAATGGAAACGACCTGTTCGTTCCTGTTGGGCGCCTGCCCTGTGGCGAGCGGGTGAGAGGTTGACGCCACCAGTTATGAAAACACCAGAAGCCACCAGGAGAAGGCCCGCTGGCCCACGTTCAGAGCCTCCTTCCTTCTGTAGCTGCCTCTGATCCCACCACCCCCCACAGGGGAGCTCATGCGTTCATGTCCCCTTGCACTTAGCACACATCGCTTTTATACAGTTTCCTTGTACTAAAATAATTGATGTGTTTCTAGGTCCCTTTTTACCAAAGGGCAGCCCTCTGGCTTCTGGACAACAGAAGTTTTGTTTTCTTTCTTTCTTTCTTTTTTAAATTTAATTGTGGTAAAATATATTTAACAAAAAGTTTACTGTTCTAGCTATTTTTAAGTGTATAGTTCAGTGGCATTAAGCACATTCATATTGTGCAGTCATTCCCAACCGTCCGTCTCCAGAACTTCTTGGTCTTATAAAACTGAAACTGTCCCCATGAAACAAGAACCCCTGCCATTTCTCTTCCCCAGACATTGGCAACCACCATGCTCGTTTCTGTCTCTGTGGACCTGATTACTCGAAGTGCTTTGCAGAAGAGAATCGTACGGTATTTGTCTTTCTGTGATCATGTATTTCACTGAGCATGGCGTCCTCCAGGCTCGTCCACGTGGTAGCGTGCTACAGACGCAGACCTTCCTTCCTTTTCCAGGCTGAATAATATTCCGTGGTCTGCACAGCCTGCACTGTGCTCACCCCCTCCCCTGAGGGCACACACCTGGGTTGCTCAGTGTTTTGCCATAGACTTGCCATAATCCCTAGGAAGATGGCAGAGTGGGAAGCACCAGGACTGTCTCTCCACCCAGACCACTGCACTGGAAGAATCTGTCTCACGTACCTAGTTTGGAACTCTGGAGTCTGTTGAAGGCTTGCAGCTGCCAGAGAAACGCTTGGATGGTAAATTGCAGTTAATTTTGGTCGATTATGGCTCTGAGCACAATAGTAGCAACGCATCCCTACCCTCAGCTGGTGACCAGCAGCTGTGCACCTGTTCCTGGAATGGCCCAACGTAGTTTGCAGGAGCCAGAGTGGGCAAAAACCCTCTGTCCCTGAAATACCAGGAATGTGTGCACTGCTCACTGTCTGCTGCTTTCATTCCCGGGTGCAAAGAGGAAGGCAGCCATTGGTTTTGCCCCTACCCCGATGTGACAGACCCCCTCCCCCACCAGCTGAAGTGTCTTCAGGGGATTGGATGGACAAGTGCCATCACTTTCCCCTCTTCCTTGTTTGCTTTTTCCTATTTCGGGAGCCAGACATTGAAATCTTGGACATTCCATAACAACCACATGTATGAGGAAAATCAGAGAGTGGCCAGCGTGCCCAGGGAAAGGGTCAGGAAAGGCCTGAGATGACATTAAGTTGAAAGGCTGATCCTCAGCACAAAGACATCCTGTGATGGTCCAATGAACAAACAAAAATAAAATAAAAACAATAAAGAAAAACAAGAAACCCTGGGAAGGCGGAGAATCTGATCCCCAGAGGTCCCACGTTAGAGCCAAATGCCTAATGTTCAAGGAAACAAACAAACAAACAAACAAAAACCACAAGGCACACAATGAAACAGGAAAGTGAGGCCCATTCAAAGGAAAAACAATAGATCATCAGAAACCGTCCCTGAAAAATACATGATGGCAGATCGGTTAGATGAAGGCTTTCAAACAACAGCCTTAAAAATGCTCAAAGACCTAAAGGAGGATGTGGAGAAAGCCTGGAAATGGAGTGTGAACGAAACGGAAACGCCAGTAAGGAGACAGAACAGCTAACAAGAAAGGAGAAGGGTGATGAAGGGCTCACTGTCAGAATTACTTCATACGTAAATTGATTAAACTCTTTAATCAAAAGACAGAGACTGGCAGAATTTTATACATTCCAGTCCATGCCTTCTGTAAGAGACTCACTTGAAAATCCAAATACACAAATAGGTCACCTGAACCATATGCAAAAATGAACTCAAAATGGATCCAACTGTAAGACCAAAAACAGTAAACCATTTGAAGGAAGCACAGGGCAACAGCGTCATGACACTGGGCTTGGCAATGAGTTCCTGGATGTGGCACCAAAGACAGACAACAAAGGACAAAAATGTCAAATTGGACCTCATGAAAATCAAAACATTTTGTGCATGAAAAGACACTATTGTGGAGTACAAAGGCAACCCACAGGATGGGAGAAAATATTTGCAAGTCCTATAACTGAGAAGGGGCTGATTCCAGAATATATCGAGAACTCCTGAGACACAACACCAGAGGAACACCAGCAACCTGATCTAGAAGCGGACACAGGACTTGAACAGACGCTTCTCCAACCAGCACATGAGAGACGTGCAACACCACTAGGCAGCAGGGAGATGCAAATCAAAGTCCAGCTCACACCGTTTAGGATGGCGACTACCAAAAAACCGGAAATCAAGTGTGGGCAAGGATGTGGAGAGGCTGGAACCGTTGCGCATGGTTGGCGGGGATATAAGTTGGTGCAGCCATTGTGGGAAACAGTACGGTAGTTCCTCAAAAAAATTCAAGGTAGGACACCCTAAGATCCATCATGTCTGCTGCTGGGTATGGACACGCCCAAAGAAGTGAAAGCAGGGGCTCAGAGAGATAGTTGTACGCCCCTGTTCTAGCTGCATTATTCACGACAGCTGAAATGCCAAAGCCACCCAAGCGTCCACTGAAGGATGAACGGATAAGCCCAACGTGGTATATACGTGTGACAGAATGTTATTCAGCCCTGAAAAGCGAGGACGGTCTTCAGCACGCCACACCGGGGATGAGCCTGTGGGCGTTGTGCTAAGTGAGATAAGCCAGTCGCAGAAAGACAAATTCCGTACGATTCCACTTACGATTTCCCATTTTACTTATGATAGGATCTGTGTCTGCTGTGATACATTTCAATTTGCCTTTTGATGTGACTTTTTAATTTTAAAAGTTGCATGTGTTTCCTTCTACAAGATACAAACTGGCTTACGACCCGGCCAGTTGGGTGACCGTTGATGAGCTCTCAGGAACAGTTACCACCACGCAGCAAATCGACCGAGAATCCCCTTACGTAAATCACAGCTTTTACACAATCATCGTGCAGGCTGTTGACGATGGTAAGTGTTTACCCAAAATTAGGGGAGGGGGACGTGTGTTTCCTTGCTTCCTGAGGGGAAATAACACTAGTGAGAATCTTTCCCCACAACTGGGAAAAATAAATAAAATAAACCTTTTTAGCACTATGCATCCATCCTGGCAACTACTCTTTGTGATAATTTTTGAAATGGCAAACCAAGGACCAGTGCCCTGGGGAGAGGGGCAGGATGCATTCAGAAGAGACGATTTAGCCAGCGAGGAAGCCGCCAGCAGACCCGATGTCCGTTTCATCCCTCCATAAAACAACTCTGTAGCTCTTCCTCAAAGCTGGTGTGTGTGGCAAATGTTTAGCACAGTTTCCCTGTACTTGGAATGGCTGATCCGCTCTGGTAAATGTGACTGTGTGGGACAAATTTGTCATAAACCAGGGTGCGCAGCGCTCTGAGCGGGTTACAACACTTTTCTCTATGATCTCCCAAGGCTGGACTTCGAAACCTGCCCAAGCACAGAGTTGAATAAACAGCAACTCTCAAATAACTTTAATAATTGTGTTTAAAGAGTCTCTAAGTTAAAGCCCAGGTTTTAAGGGAAATGTAGGTGTATGTCCCATTTGTATGAGGTTGTGGATGATGTGTGTAGATGGTGTAGATAGATGCATATAGATGATGTTGTAGATGCTGTATGATGTCGTAGATGTTGTAGCAGAATGTTGGTTAGGAAGATGTTAAGTCTGTATTCCTAAATCAGTCTGAGGTGGGGAGATGGCAAGGGGGGGGTCTATCTTCCAGGGACCTGAAGGAACAATGTGGTGGGGTCCAGAGTACCCACTGCCCAGTGTCCCCTAATGGTTAACACATTGCAAGACTGTAGTGTCTGGTGACAACCGGGACTCGGCCATGGACACAGCCAAAGGCCAAACATCTCCATCTCCATGTCACAGCCGTTTCACTCCTGCCCCACTCCCTTCTTTACACCTGGCATGACTGACCGGGAAAAACGAATGATTCCATTTTCTACCTGGTTCCACAAATGATCTGAGGTGGCAAGTGTTTTGTTGAGGTACCCTTCCCGGATACTCTGAATTTTCAGAAAAGCAGGAGAACAGAGCAAGCACCTAGGGGAGAGCCTATGACCTTGAAAAGGAAGTGGTTTCAGTGCAATGACTCCTTTCCTGGGAGGATGACACTGCCCATTCTCAGGGGGTATGTGCGCATCGAGAGGTCTCTCTCAATTAACAAGCAACCCCTCCTGGAATTCCATTTCCAGGCCTCCCGCCACAGACCGGGACGGGGACCCTGATGCTTTTCCTGTCTGACGTCAACGACAACGCCCCTGCTCTCCATCCCCGTTCTCGATACGTGGAGGTCTGTGAGTCTGCGCTGAGTGAGACCCTCCTTCTCCAGGCCGAGGATGCCGACCTGGAGCCCTATGCCGACCCCTTTACGTTTGAATTGGACAATTCGTGGGAAAGTGCAGGAGACACATGGAAACTGGGGGAAAGTCGGGGTGAGTTTTTGTATTGGTTGGGGATAAAGCACTGAAAATAACCTGACTCAAACCGACCCAGGAAAGGAATAATGATAATAATAATAATAATAATGACAATAATAATAATAAATCGGCTTTTGTAACTGAGGGAGATGCCAGTCAAGGCTGTGTTCTAGCAGAGCTGGGTCTGGGTGCTTGAGGAACATCCCTGGAAGATGTTTGTCCTGTGGCTCTGCCTTTCCCTGGGTCCCTTTATTTCCAGGCAGGCTCTCCTCTGGGTGGCGGGTGGCTGCTGGGAGTCCCTGGGACTCACCCGAGTATGTGGCAAAGGTATTTATATCACTTTGTGGCTTTGGTCAGCTGCCCCATCAGTTATGGTGGGTTGGGGCTGGGAAGGCAGACATGCTGATTGGCCGGTTCTTGTTGGGCTCTGGGCTTCGCATTTCCTGACCTGCATGGCTGATTTCAGGAACTGGGGGCTCTCCCAAAGAAGACCTGGGGTGCTGTTCCAAGGAGAAGCCACGGGCATCTGCTGTCAACATTCTCCTTGGAGCCTCTATCAGTGTGTCCGTAGAATGTACCCTATTTTGTAGATGGAACCGTGAGCTCATGTTTACAGCTCCCAGACACAGAGTGTGTCGTAAACCATTGAACTTTGCCCCAAACAAGCTCTGGCCTTTGCCCTCAGCTTCTGGAAGATGAGCTCTAGGCCTTTGGGATGTCTTGCCTGAAAGGAATGCCTTTGTTTACCTTGGGCTTGTGCCCATCAGATACAGACATGATTTGGGGTGGGGGCTCTGGGTCATGTGGGCGTCCGCTGATCTCCAGCAACACTGAGGACCGAGGTCAGCCGTTGGATGGCCAAGCAGATTTACACGACCGAGTCTGGCTGAAGACCCTGCACGCAAGGCTCAGGGGAGCTTCCCTGGCTGGCAGAGCCCCACGCATATGGTCACTTACTGACCTGGGAGGTCCTGTCCTGACTCTGCTGGAGAACGGAGAGCTTGGAGTCTGGTGCTGCTCTGGATTCTGCCCCACATGCTTCTTCCCTTGGCCAGTTTTAATCCATATCCTGTTGCCGTGCTGGATCATAACTAGGACCACACAGCCTTCAGTGAGTCCTACGGTCCTTCTAGAGCACTTTCAGACCTGAGCACGGTCTTGAGAACCCCTGGACTGGGAGCTGGTCTCAGGCATAAGTGAGGGTGGTGTTGGCGCCTTTTCCCTCCAACTTTGAACTCGGCTAACTTCTGTACAGAGCCGTGGCGCATGGGAGGGACTTAGTCGATCTCTGTTGAGTAGATAAGCAAGTGAGCAAGTCAACTCACGCAGCGTCCACTTCCCTTCTGCAGGTCGGTCCGTGGAACTTTTAATGTTGACAAGCCTCCCGCCCGGTAATTACTCAGTGCCACTGTTCATCAGAGACAAACAGGGACTTTCCCAGAAGCAGACTGTCCACGTAAGGGTCTGTTCCTGTCCCAGCGGAGGCACGTGTGTGGAGCCCTCAGCCGTGGTCACAGGAACTGGACTCCTCATGGGCGCCCTGGCCCCTGCCTGTGCCGCGCTTGTGATGCTGGCAGGTCAGTGGTCTGCAGGTGTTGTCCTGGGGAGGCGGCTCCTCGCCCCAGCCTCCCAGCAGTGCGCAGTCCTCTGGGGCAGGGAGCAGGCATGGCAGAGATCAGTGGGACACCTTGAGAATGACCCCTCGGCTCACCAGAGTCTCAGACTCAGATCAGACGTCCCCAACCTGGTCGGACAGGCTGCCTGCCCGGCGAAAGCAGCTTCTAGGAATTTAGTAGCAGTTTCCTGAATGAACGAGTGAATGAACCAACCCAGGAAAAGAATAATAATAATAATAATAATAATAATAATAATAAATTGGCTTTTGTAACTGAGGGAGATGCCAGCTAAGCCTGTGTTCTAGCAGAGCTGGGTCTCGGTGCTCAAGGGACGTCCCTTGAATGAGCCCCACAAATGAACACTGTGGTTCGCAGAAATGGGGGGGCAGCGATGGGCCGATACCTGGGCTCCTAGGCTTGGAGGACACGAATGAGCAAGCTCGGTTCTCAAAGAAATGACAGGATTTTTTTGGTCACGTGGTATTGATCAATTCAACCAATAGTTACCCAGTGCCGACATGTGCCCCAACCCTCACTGTCATATAGCTACGGAGATGACCACCACCCAGTTGACCTTGTCTGTTCATGGCTGAGCTCTGAGTCATCAGAACGAGGTCCTGTTCAAACCTCTGTTGAGCACGAGATGCCCGGCTCATTTTCCTGCTCTGTCCCATTGTAGCCACTCTGCTGTGCCTGCTGCGATGCTGTTTTGTCTCCGAAGTCAGGCCCGGAAGCTTCGAGGAAGGCCAGCAGACTCTGATCATGTATAATGACGAGAGCAAACCCATTTCAACGCAGGTAGTGGAAACTAGCGCGTCGTGTTTCCGGACGGTGATGTCCGTCATCCCCAGGCCTGTTTTTCCACCCGCTGAGCCCCCTGTCACGTCGTCACACTCCCTCATATTCGAGTAGCGAATGGCAAAAAGATTCCCATGAAAACCGTCCAACTCAACTAAATTGAATTATTATTTTAGGTCATAATGAGGGGGTGATTCTGCCCCCGCCCAGGGGATGTTTGGCAATGTCTAGAGACCGTTTTGGTGGCGGCTTGGTTGGGGTGGGAAGACATGGCTTTGGCTCCCAGTGGAAGCAGAGAGGCTCAGGGAGCTGCTGAGTGCCCCACTGTGCCCAGGGCGGCCGCACCACAGAGAAGGGTCTGGCCCAACGTGCCCAGAGTGCTAAGGGGGGAAGCCTTGCTTAGGAGGAGATGGTGTCCGCCAGCGGACTTGCTCCAGATGGAAGCGTGTCAGGCTCACTAAGGAAGCGCGGAGCCCGCCCCACCTCCCTTGCCCGGCGGGGGCTGGCACAGAGCTCGCTGCTCTGGCAGGGACGAGACCGGACTCTGCTGCCCATTAGCTTCCGCTCGTTGAGCGAGTCCCTCACCCCCACATCCTCACCTGCCACCCGGAGAGGATAGAACTCAACCAGCAGATGGGCTGTGCACCAAAGACGACGCGCGCAGGAAAGCTCCCGCCCTCCTCCGGACACACGGTGGTCAGCGGGTAACTGATGGCTTTCAAGCCGCTCCTGCTGACGCTGACCTCGCCGCGCGTCCTCACGGCAGCCCTGGGCTGGGGTCAGCCGGGCAACCAGAGGAAGGCACCGCGAGCTCTCCTGCTGTCTTCACCCAGAACCAAGCGTAGCTGGTCCAAACACTGAAAGCCAAAGAAATGTCCAAAGGGAGCACCGTCTTTCCTGCACGGAGGGTGGGGGACCCACCTTGCTGCTGCCTTAGATCTCCAGCCACGGTTTTCTCCCGGAAGGACAAGACACGTTGTTCTAAGATGCCTCTGAGAAGAGACGGTGCCGTTGACTTTGGCGTTAGGCTGCAGTAGGCAGACAGGGAGATGCTCTAGAGAGAGCCTGCAGATGGGAGATGCCGGGGGTGACTGACACCCTCAGGTCCTTCTCGCATTTTCTCTTTCTTCCTGGCATGACGGAAGGGAAGTGACTGCCCTGGGCCACGGTAGGGGCGTCCGTGCCTGTGCACCCACGCAGGCCTGCGTGGAGCCCTTCCCGGTGTGGGGTCGAGGAGGCAGGAGGTACGGTCCGAACTGTCCAGACTGCTGGACCTCCAGAAGAAGCCCCACCCCTGCAGTGACAGCCGCACTTCACTGTTCTGATTCGTTTGTGTCATTCTGAGGAGACCATCTGGACAGACCGTCTGGACAAATGGCCGTGCTCCGAGAGCCCTGGGAGGCTTCACTCTGCTCGGACGCTCCGCTCAGTCATCCAGGGACAGGGACAAGGCTCCTGGGCCAGGGCTGAGCTCAGCCTCCCGGGTGGGGTCGTGGCTGAGGCAGGTGAGCCTGGAGGAGCCCACTGGGGACGTGGCCTCCCCGAGCAGTGTCCGTGGGCACAGCTGCGGCCGAAGAGGTGGTGATGATGCCCGGTGCTGTTCTCGTCGGCCAGGCGCCCACTGGCTGTGTCCTGGGGCGGAGGAAGCCGCTGGAGAAGCAGACGGTGTGGAAGGGAAGCCTGGTCCTCGCAGGGCGGGGGCCAGGCAGGCTGGGGACCCCTGTCAAGATCAAGGACCAGCTGTCAGAGGGACGAGAGAGCCTTCCTGTGTCCCCTCCTTGTCCCAAGATGTTGTCCCCTTTTCTCCTACTCGCAGCTCAGGACGTGTCCCTGCTTCTACCATCATATCTTTGGGGCTCTGAGGCCTGGGATCCAGCAAACCTGGGTTTGGACTCCAAAACTGTGGCTTATCAGACAGAGAAGCTAACAAACCCTTGGTTTTCACATATAAAGAGAGGTTAATAATGCATGTGCTCTCTCTCTCAGGTTTATTGGACAATTTAATCAACTAATACGAAATCTTTAGCACAAGTGAGGGCATTGCCAGGCACACAGTGAACGTGGCTGCCGATATTAGTGTTTTTTTTTTTTTTAAAGATCTTATTTATTTATTTGACAGATCACAAGCAGGCAGAGAGGCAGGCAGAGAGAGAGGAGGAAGCAGGCTCCCTGTGGAGCAGAGAGCTGATGCGAGGCTTGATCCCAGGATCCTGGGATCATGACCCGAGCCGAAGGCATAGGCTTTAACCCACTGAGCCACCCAGGCGCCCCGATATTAGTGTTATTAACAGTACTTACCAGTTTATGTCTTTGGAGCCACGGGTAAGTCAGGCCATTTCAAAGTGTACACGCCTCCGCAGTCATCCGTCTCACGTGAACACTCCATGCACACACACACACACGCACACCCAGGGGCCTTCTACGCTTGTGGCAGGACTCACCCCCTCCGAGATGCTGCTGCTGATCCCACCACTCTGTTGTGCCCACGAGACGGCACAGACGCCCCCTCCGAGAAGAGGAACCAGCCCAGCAGCGCCTGGGCCCTCGGGGATGTGTGCTCACTGAGGCATGGAGAAGATAGTGCACAGCACCGCCCGACCCTGGGGCCCGAGAAAGCATTGCCTCAGCCTCGGGAGATGATGAGCCGTAGATTCCGAGACCCTCTCAAGACCGGGGTCTTTTCCCCATCACGTCCCATGGGACACGGAACAAGAAACTCCACCTCCTGACCAGCGGTTCCAAAGGAGTCCAGATTCTGGGCGGAATAGGTGTTTTTTCCCGGCTCTGGATGTTTTCTGTGATGGTGTGGAGACCTGTGATGTCATTTCTTGGTCTCTGCTTTCATTCCTGCTGTCTGTGATTGCAACTTTGTCATTTTTCTTTCTGTGTGTGTCCCACAGGGAAGGCCAGATATCAGGGACCAGGTGCCAGTCCTGGTGCTCGACGCAGCTGGGGCCGGGGCCGAGCTGGGCACTAAGGTGAGCACGGCCCGTTTGCTGCTTGGTTTAGATGGACAGGCGGCTTTGCAGGGGATTCCCACGGCGGCGAACAGCACCCCCAACACGCACGATGTCCCTGGGCAAGGACCGCGCCTGCCTGCACCCAGCCTCACCTGCAAAGCCCCATGACTCCACGAAGCCCAAAAGGACAACAGCATCGGATGCCCCCGGGCCCCAGTTTCGGCCTGGCCGGTCACTGTCGTGACTTTCTGCCGCGTGCTATGCCCCCAGTGTAGTGTACTTTTTACCGTATTTCTTTCTCTAAATCAACCTCGGTCCAAATAAAGTACATTTCTTTAAATAGGGCATTCTGTATTTCAGCAGCAAATAAACAAACAAAAAACAGTTTTGGGGCGCCTGGGCGGCTCAGTGGGTTAAGCCTCTGCCTTTGGCTCAGGTCGTGGTCTCGGGGTCCTGGGATCGAGCCCCGCATCGGACTCTCTGCTCGGCGGGGAGCCTCTTCCCCCGCCCCGCCCCGCCTGCTGCTCTGCCTACCTGTGATCTCTGTCTGTCAAATAAATAAATAAAATCTTAAAAAAAAAATTTCACTGGTATGAAGAGCAGAGAGGGAAGAGAAAAATAGACACAAGAGAAATAAAGCCCAGTAACTCTGGCTAGAGAAAGCCACCTGCCACAGGCACAGGGTCCCGGAGGAAGGCAGAGATAGGAAAGCCATGCTGGTTCAGACACCCCCCGGCACCCCATGCCATCAGCATGTGGATGAGGAGTCAGAAGGGGAGTCATTTTCTCACCATGCAATTTAATGTCATTTAAGCCTGGGTTCCCAGACTGGTTAAACCTTCCCTTCTCTACGGGGTAGATGACCCCACTGCGGAAAACAGAGACTTAATCCAGGGCTGCTATAAATTACCGAGCAGGTGCCTGGCTGGGGGTGAGCAGGGGCAGGTCCAGCAGGCATTCCGCCCACCAATCCGTGCTGCGGGGAGGACCGCCCTTTCTCTCCCGCGCACGGACACTGTGCACGCTGGGCTGGCGGTGCTTCCTCCCTGCCTGGTCTGCAGCTTCTGGAGGCCGGAACAATCACTCCTGAGAAGCGTGAGAACAGCTCTGCTTTACTGAGTGTGCCCTGGGGGTGTGCACCCCGCAAGCACCATCCCGCGGACACTTCGCCAGAGCCCCTGGGGGAGGGTAGTCAGCTTTCTCCTTCTCCATCTGTGGGGGATGAAGCCAAGATCTGGGGTTCCTGTCTCTCCGAGCGTCTGTTCCCTGCGCTGTGCCCCGCAGGCAGAAATTTCTCCCGTGCTCCTGGTTAGCCATGCCACCACGGCACACCCTCCCTAAGTGAAGGCAGCCGTGACTTAGTGGGTAACCTGTTTTAAAACCTGCTCGAAGCATGGAGTCTCTTCAACTGTGGTTAAGATCTGTTGCCTGCTTTATTCTCTTTGAAATTCTGCTTCATTATCGAAAGGCCTCATAAACTAGGACGCCCAAAGCAGAAATGGCCGATAGCCCCATCCTTCACTTGTCTGCGTCACTGGCCTGGTCTCACGCACGCGCTACCCTGTGCTCAGACTTCTACAGTATGGCAGGGGGAACGCTAGAGTCCCCTCCTACAGTCACCACTGGCCACGCGCTTTGTTTCAAGAGTCTTCTCGTGCATCTCCCCACCTCCCCTCTTCCACTCGCATTCTCCCTCCCGTCTTTAGTGCCAGCGTCTATGGGCAGAGGAGCGTAGAGCAAGGGGAAGGGGCGGAAAGACACACATGCATTATCTTCTGAGTAAGTCAGCATCTCCCCCAGGATCTACAGGACATGCTACCACCGGCAGCGAGAGCACTGGACCAGGAGTACTTGGTCTCAGGGACCCCAGGGCATTACAGAAGTTCACTTCCTCTTGCCGTAAGCCCCCTAATGATTGACAGTTGGTTCCCTTGAGGGGTAGATCTTCTAGAAGATTCTGTGATACCAGTAGATCAAATACAAGTCAATGAAAACCTCATTTATCTAATTAGCTAAGGTTATTGTTGGTTGTTAAAACGTTATTTGACAGTCCTGATCACATATGATGCTTTTTAGAACGCCCACAAGTAAATACATTTTTTTCATGTCCATCTGAGGGTGTCTGGGTCATCTGGAGCGTTCTAAGCACATTGC